TGAAGCCATTTATCCAGCCCCCTGCCGCACTTCAGGAAAGGGCACCTCTTTCACTGGTGGTCAGTGAGAGGAGCACAGTATGTGGCGGCCCTCCAACGGTCTGAGGGGCAGTGAACTGGCCCCCTGTGTAGAAAGTTTGGGGATGCCTGCCCTAGAAGGTCTGGTCTCTTGTGTTCACAGAGAAGTTTACTAAATCACATCTTTTTTTCATGCAAAAACGCTATATTTATATATGTCGGTTCATTATACACTATCTGTATGTGCATGAAGTTTCATCTCCCCACAACAAATGCAAATGCTGAAGATACTACCATCCAGTTATAGAAGAGGAGAGCTATCTTTTTTTTTTCAGCCCATCATAGGCTCATGGCTGAGGCCCCTCTAACGAAAAGCAGATTAACAAGAGAAAAGCATACAAATTTATTTAATATAAGTTTTATGTGACATGGGAGCCTTAATAAGGAAATGAAGGCTGGGCACAGTGGCTCATGCCTGTAATTCCAGCACTTTGGGAGGCTGAAGCAGGCGGATCATGAGGTCAAGAGATAGAGACCATCCTGACCAACATGGTGAAACCCCATCCCTACTAAAAATACAAAATTAGCTGGATGTGGTGGTGAGTTCCTGTAGTCTCAGCTACTTGGGAGGCTAAGGCAGGAGAATCTCTTGACCCCTGGAGGTGGAGGTTGTAGTGAGAGGAGATTGCGCCACTGCATTCCAGCCTGACGACAAAGCAAGACTCCATTTCAAAAAAAAAAAAGGAAATGAAGACCCAAAAAAAGAGTTAAGTTTGTATAATTTTATGGTATGTTTGATCAATGGACAGTCATGGAGAAATATATTGGGGAAAGGGGGTATAATCTACTGGCAAAATACTGGGGGGAATTTAGCAAGGCCTGTTTGTTCAGATTCTTTTCTGTGACCCGGTGTCTTCAGAGATAAGGATGTTCCTTTCCTCCAGTTATACAGAGGGCACCTGTCACATGAAGGTCATATGATCTGCTTCAGACGTAAGTCAGAAAAATCTTTTCTAGGTTTTATGACCTGCTTCAGGGGAGAAATGGGGGGAAGATGAGAGTGACCTTCCTGCTTCTGCCATTTTCTCAAATTCCTTTATCTTAAAATATTCAGTATGCCAAGGTACCCTATTTTGGGGTAGAGAATTCTGAACCCCATTACGATCAACTCCTGCAGACTCCAATTATTCAACCAATAAGGCTAGAAAACTTCCACAAATGAGAAGGCAGAACTGTTAAGATGTTAAGATGATGATGCTCAGGACAGGACATGCTCACCCAAAATATAGAACTACAGGATCTGAGAAAACAGCAGAAGCAGGAAGTTCTCTCTGGCCTTCTCCTACCCTTCTCCCCAGAAGCAGGTCATGAACCCTAAGACCTTCTTTCTGGAGGAAAGTAGTGAAGACACAAAGAGGCCAGGAAGAATCTGAACAACAGTCCTTGCTGAGGTCCCCCGGTTTGTTACTGGTAGATCATACCCTTTTGTCCTCCAATCATACTTCTGCACAACTCTCCATAAAAATGCACAGCTTTTCCCATTTCTTTGGGTCTTCATTTATCAAAACCCTCACATCACATAAAACTGACATTAAATAAATGTGTTGGCTGTTTTGTTTTCATATTAATATATCATTGTTAGAGAGGTCTCAGCCATGACCCCAGAAGTTCAAGGTCAGCCTGGGCAACGTAGTGGGACCTTATCTCTACAAAAAAAAAAAATTTTAAATAGTAAAAAAATAGAAAATATGTAGTATTTGCCTTCACACTGGAAGGAATTTAAGAGCAAGCCAACAGAGTAAAGTGAAAATAAAGAATAAAAGAGTGGCTATTCCATAGGCAGAGCAGTCCTGAGGGCTGCTGGTTGGCTATTTTTATGTTTTATATTTTTGTGGGTATTTTATGTTTACTTTTTAAAAAAATCATATGCTAAACAAGGAATAGATTATTCATTAGTTTTCTGGGAAAGGGGTGGGCAATTCCTGGAACTAAGGGAATTCCTCCTGCTTTCAGACCGTATAGGGTAGCTCCAGGAGTTGCTATGACATTTGTAAACTTTCTTGGTCCTGGTGAGCGTGTCTTTTAGCATGCTAATATATCATAATGAGCATATAATGAGCAGTGATGACAACTAGATGTCACTTTTATTGCCGTCTGGTTTGGGTGGGTTTTGACTGGCTTCTTTACTACATCTCATTTTATTAGCGGGGTCTTTGTGACCTGTACCTAGTAAAACCAGTCCTGCCGAACTCCTGACTCACTGGCATTGCAGCAAGGCAACGTCCTCACTACCTCCATCAATGTTGGGTCTTAGCAGTGACCAGCCCCTGATAGATCATTGCACACGTGGAGCTTCTCTTTGCCTCCAAGGACTGAAGAAGGGATGAACACTTGGCTGAGCTGGACCAGCTGTGGCAGCTTCAGCTGGGGACAGGAGTAAGGGAGTTAACAGGGATGAAAAAGCCAAGCAAGGTCAAGGTTAAAGTTCTCCAAGGTTGCCTTTGGGTGAGAAGCTCTCTTGAGCAAGAAACTGTGGAACACCTTTTAATGAAGGCATCAACAATAGGGAGTCAAAAGCTGAAAGATAACTCAGTTTATTTTCTATTTATTCTTTTTTTGAGGCAAGGTTTCATTCTGTCACCCAGGCTGGAGTGCAGGGGTGTAATAATAGCTTACTGCAGCCTCAACCTCCTGGGTTCAAGCGATTCCCCCCACCTCAGCCTCCTGAATACCTTGGACTACAGGCATACATCACCATGCCCAGCTAGTTTTTTTCATTTTTTGTAGAGACAGGGTTTTGCTATTCTGCCCAGGCTGATCTTGAACTCTTAGATGCAAGCAATCTATCCATCCCGACTTCCTAGAGTGCTGGGATGATAGGCGTGAGCCACCACATCCAGCCTACAGTTTATTTTTAATTATAAACAAAATAATAGAACAAATTGAAAATGGCTGGGCATGGTGGCTTACACCTGCCACCTCAGCACTCTGGGAGGCCAAGGCAGAAGGATCACTTGAGCCCAGGTATTTGAGACCAGCCAGGACAACATAGTAAGACCTCATTGCTACAAAAAAATAAATTAATTAAAAAATAAATAAATTGTAAATAGTCACAGTAGAGGACAGACTGAATTATTTTTTAATTCTCTCTATTGAAAATATTATGAAATCTTGGTCCTATTAAGAGATAATCAAAGAGTATATAAGAAGAAAAGAAATTTTAAAGTATGTTAGGCAGTTAGTAATGATAAAAATATTAATACTGATTTTTTGTTTGTGATATTTGTCACCTCTTTAAAATTTGTAACTTGTAATTAATAGTTCTAAATAAATATTCAATTTTGTACTAGTTTTATATTTACAATTCTGCATTCTTTTTATTCTAGAGGGTCCCTATATTGTATAAACTTTAGGCCCACAGAACCTGAAAGCATCTAGATACAATACAAACTAAATATGGAATGGAACAACTAGTTAGGAAAATTCCAAATCTAGAGGGTTTTTTAAGTGTCTTTCATAATCACACCTCAGGTAATCAAGTGCCTTAAATGGCCAGTGGAAAGGAGTGGAAATAAAGATTAAGAGGTGTCAACAACAGACACCAAGCCGTAGATGGGCCAGAAGAACAAACTCTGCCCCCAGCCCAGTGGTATAGAGGAGACACAGACAAAAGCCTTAGCAATCTGGAGACAACAGATGCTGGAGAGGATGTGGAGAAATAGGAACACTTTCACACTGTTGGTGGGAGAGTAAATTAGTTCAACCATTGTGGAAGACAGTGCAGCGATTCCTCAAGGACCTAGAAATGGAAATTCCATTTGACCCAGCAATCCCATTACTGGGTATATATCCAAAGGATTATAGATCGTTCTACTATAAGGACACATGCACACAAATGTTCACTGCAGCACTGTTTACAATAGCAAAGACCTGGAACCAACCCAAATGCCCATCGATGCTAGACTGGACAGGGAAAATGTGGTACATATACACCACGGAATATTATGCAGCCATCACAAACTATGAGTTCGTGTCCTTTGTAGGGACATGGATGAACCTGGAAACCATCGTTCCCAGCAAACTGACACAAGAGCAGAAAATCAAACACTGCATGTTCTCACTCATAGGCGGATGTTGAACAATGAGAACACATGGACACAGGGAGGGGAGCATCACACACTGGGATCTGTCCAGGGGACATAGGGGAGGGACAATGGGAGGTGGGGAGTTGGGGAGAGATAGCATGCGGAGAAATGCCAGATATAGGTGATGTGGAGGAAGGCAGCAAATCACACTGCCATGTGTGTACCTATGCAACAATCTTGCATGTTCTTCACATGTACCCCAAAACCTAAAATGCAATTTAAAAAAAAACCATTAGCAAGCTTTAAGCAAAGGAGCAAGTGTTTAAGACAAGGAGGCAGGTGTGTGAGCAGGGATATCACTTATCATTAGAGAGATGGTGACGGCTTGAACCCAGGTGATGCTTCTTCATGATTGCCACTGTTTTGTGTTGACATTCACCAAGCAGAATGACCTTCAGGTCTTTGAGGCACTCGAAGTACGTAGGAGCCAGAGTTTCACTAGCTTCCCCAGCAATCCTTGCTTGGTCAATTGATTCCTATGTCTGCAGCCAAATACTATAAAAAACTCTGGGGAAGTAAACTCCTCCCATCCTCTTGGCTTTTCAATGAATCATTTAGATGGGAAAAAGACACATGAACTTCAGGCCAGGATCACAGTCCTGTCCCAAATATATGACTTTCTGCCCTCCTTCAAATAACGGGGGTGGGCGTGCGGGAGTGTAATTTTTTTTTTCCTGCTAACACCTGGCACTTTATTAGTGGGGAAACTCGCCTTGGTCTGGCAGAGAGATGGGGATGGACAGGACCAGAGCCCATTCTCGAGGGGGTATTTTCTGGAAGATTAGGTGTTCCTCCTTGCAGGTTTAGAGGAAACACCCTCATAGATGAAAATCTCCCAGAGAGCAGCGCTGCAACTGCCAGGCAGCCAGGGTAGGAGGGGCGCCCTAGGCACATCTGGGCCCTTGGGACAACAGGGCTTTGATGTCAGGCTCTATGTCAATGGTCTGGAAGCGGCGGCTGTACCTGCGCACAGGAACACCGTCAGGGCCCACGAGGAACTTCTCGAAGTTCCATGCAACATCATTTCGGCATACCGGAGATCAGGTGATGAGCTTGGGGTCGGTCATGAGCGCAGTGGCATCGTCGCTGGGCGCTGGCAGGGCCTCCCGCAGGAAGGCGAAGAGAGGGTGCGACCCCGCACCCTTCACCTCGCACTTCTCGAAGAGCATGAAGTTGGGCTCGAACCCACCACCAGGTCAGACGTACTTGAGGGAATTCAAAATCTCTTCGTTCTTGGCGTTCTCCTGAGGTCCAAACGGGTTGCCCGGGAAGCTGAGCACCACCAGGCCCCGGGGCCCAAGGCGCCGCTGCAGCTCGTTCATCTGGGTGTAGGCCCGGACCGTGGGGCCTCAGAGGGACGCCACATTCTCGATAAGCAGCCCCTTGCCCCGCAGAGAACCGGGCTCACAGGCTCCCCGCCGGCCAGGGGCGCGCCGAGGAGGCGTACACCCACTGGGCAGCCGCGGCCGCCGCTAGCCAAGCAGCACACGTGGCGCAGCTATTCGAGAAGCTAAGGGAGCGCCCCGAACCAGCCGCGGGAGTGTATTTTTAAAACAAATGATTTTAATTCATTCACAGTTTCCTAGCAACAGGAAAAAGCAAGTTTTCCTGATGTCTGTGAGCACCAGCCTGAGATGCGCAGATGCTCCAGCATGCCTCCAGAAGCAAAGACCAAAAGCACTGGAATCGGTCTCCGGTAGGTGAGCGGTTCTCAAAGAGGAATTTGTTAAGGGCAGGCACCTGATAGTGCAGCCCCAGAGACCTGTACCACAACTGCAGGGGTGCAGCAGGGAACCTGCATGGAATGTGCAGATATTCTCCAGGGAATAATATTCCTATAGAATTTGGGGGCTCTGACTTCTAGGGAATTGTTTCTAGGAAACGGCTATAGCCTGAGACATGACATCTTTCCAGTACCTCTTTTGTGTGTGCTTTCAGCCAGCGGTCTTGTTTTCTTTAAAGCTTTATAGACAGAGAAGAGGGGTAACTGTCAGAATTCAAATCTACCTGAATTAGAGTCTGTGCTAATGGCCTTCTTTAAAACACGCATAGCTACTAAACGCATATAAATCACTGACTTCTACAGCTGTAAGGAACCTCTCTAATCATTCGATGCTTGTTTTACAGTGGAAGAAAGGAAACTAGAGAGGCGAATTAATTTGTTCAAGGTGCACAACTAGTTGGTGACCTCACAGGCTCTTCTGGCCTACAGCCTAGTAGTTTGGGAGTGGGACATACTCATATTTTAAAGATTTAAACCTTTGCATATTATACCACATTGAATGGCGGTGGTGGAGGCAGGGGATGGGGAGGATGAGGGATGATCTAAGAGGAAGCTGTTACAACAACTGAGCAATGCAGATATTATAACTTGTAAGTCTGAAGCTCAAAGGGCTTACTCAGAATTACAAGACAAGAATGGATTAAAGCACATGCTAAGTGTGCCCACTCCCTGTCAAGGAATTGAGCTAGGTCAAATAATCTAGCACCAAGTGTTTTTCCAAATTATTGAATCAGGAGCATTGTAATGCATGCCAGACCACATAGAGTCACAGAATGTTGGGGTAACAAGTGCTCTGGGCAGTGTTAACCAGGCCCGTCCTTTTTTGGATAACACCTGAGGCTGGGAAGCAGAAGATGCACAGCCACATCCATGAGTGTGGCTTTCCTGGGTCCAGGGCTCGCGCCTCTCCAGGCAATGGGGCTACCTCTATGGCTTGCTGTATCCTCTCCCAGTTGACCCTGTAGGGAGCAGTATCATTGTCTTGATACTTATTCAATTTCCTGTGAAATGCTCTTACTTTCTTCCCCACTTTCACCTTATCCACATCTCGTCCACTCCCCCAAAACTAAAGCAGATGTAGCAGCAGCAAGAATGATCCAAAATAATGAAGTTAGCCTAGGGAAGAATTCATTTGGATAAGTGGCATCCTGTTTGCTCTTTGCTTACTGTTAGTAGAGCTGAATCAAGTGAGGCTTAGTATTTATATGGTACCATTTTCAAAAAACCATGTCTAAAGTTTGTTTTCCAATCATCTTTAGAGTAGTGATTTTAAAACATACACAATTTTAAAAGTACAAAGGATAGTATAATGAATATCCATGGACTTAGAATTCCAGAGTCAACAGCTATTAACATTTTGATAGATTTGTCCACACAGAAACTGAACAGACAGGATGTATGGATACACACACACACACACACACACACACACACACACACACACACATACACACATTAGGTGCAGTACAGGCTTAACTCTCTTTCTCACTCAAATATTTTGATTTTACAGAGTTGGCTGACATGATTGTGGAGTCTCGGCCAGTCGAGAATCTGATAGTGGAGGCTGGCTAGCCGAGGATCAGGGAAGAGCTGCAATTTGAATCCAAAGGCTGCCTACCGGCAAATTCCTTCTTGCATGGAGGAGGTCAGTCTTTTGTTTTATTAAGGATTTTGACTGATGGAACAAGGCTCACTCAGATGGAGGGCAATCGGCTTTCAAAGTCCACTGATTTAAATGATAATCTCATCAAAAAACACCTTCTACAGAAACGTCCAGGATAATGTTTGAACAACTAGGGCATAGTGGTCCAGCCAGAAAATAAATTTAAAAATAAATAAAACGTCACAGATAGAGTTGATATCCTATTTATACCTCTCCCTGAGTACCTCATTCAATAGTGATGATTTTTGATAGCCTCCTTTTTGGTGACTTCAGACCCCTTGTGACCTCATCACCTGATCTTCAATTTCTGATTCAACGTCAGGGCGGGAATTGAAGACATATTTGCCATAACCACATGTTCTTTCAGGGACCTCCTGGCCGTCGGAGGTTATAGATGGATTCTATGGAAAACTCGATTATGAGCCACTGAACCAGGGTGAACTCATTGGGAGTTGAATGGTCACAAAAAAACCCAAATGCATTCAGATCTAGATGAATCACATCAATCTAGCTTAGATGGTTATTCCCGAATAGACTCATCAGCTATTACACGAACCATTTTGGTTTTACTTGCTAAATTATTGCAAGGAAGTGTAAATTAAGTAAATAAGTGTTGGAAAAATTTGGAAGGAACAAAAGGTGTCAAATAAACACAAAGTACAGTGCATGGGCCTCCAATCAGCTTTCTGACCCCGAACCTGCTGAATAAGAGGCCTGAATGAGGTGTTCCCTCGGATCCCTTCCAAAGCCTAGGACTCCATGACTGGTATTTGGAGTGATAGCATTCCTAACTCAAATTCTCTCTGATTTGCTGCTGCAGCCTCTAGGCTCAGAGAAGCTGGGTCTTCCCACAGGATATCAAGTGTAGTGTTAGCTGCGGATACCTGCTCAGCTGGCTAAGCCTTTAAGCATGGAAAGAAGGCTCATAAAGAAGGAGATGAAAAAGCTCTTGTAAGTATGATTGAGAATAACTTTCATTTATGACACTTGGCATTCAGTGGGTTTCATGTCATAGATGACTTGGGTATTGGCAGCAGGTAAAAATCTAAGGAAAGATCTATTGCTGCACGGTAGGAGAAAGCCAGAGGATGATATGGCCTCTCTTGGTCTCCTGCCAGGGAGGCCTCACATGTAGTGCAAGCCAGGATGCTGAAACTCTTGGGAGGATGTTTCTGCCGGCAGCCTGCACATCCGAGGCATCCCCATCCTAGAGCCCGAGAGCTGGGCCTGTGTCCCAGTCAGCCTGTGTAGGCAGGATGCCATTGAAAGGGGCTGGCCCTGCTGGTAAAAGGTATAGGAGAGATTCCTGAAAGGGCCCAGCATCTAAATTACAGCCTCTGCTCTGCCTCTTTTATTGTCAGCCTTATCAACTAAGAAATTCATCTCCTTTTTCTCGACATCTGAACATTCCTTTGAAAGAAATGTTTTCCTCCCATGGTAGTTTTTCTTTGACTTGTACTTAACAAATGTTGGTGAAAGATCACAAACCATATAGAAAGAAAAAAAATTGCAAACCATATAAAATTTCTGTCTCATATGTGTTATAGACACAACAGTAATACCCTTTTCATCAAAGGCCTTATCACAGTCCCCATCAAATATCTTTTCTCGGCCTATTAAGACCATTTTATTTTAATAAGTCCTTAAGAAATGCCGGAAGAGGCCGGGCGCGGTGGCTCAAGCCTGTAATCCCAGCACTTTGGGAGGCCGAGGCGGGTGGATCACGAGGTCAAGAGATCGAGACCATCCTGGTCAACATAGTGAAACCCCGTCTCTACTAAAAATACAAAAAATTAGCTGGGCATGGTGGCACGTGCCTGTAATCCCAGCTACTCAGGAGGCTGAGGCAGGAGAATTGCCTGAACCCAGGGGGCGGAGGTTGCGGTGAGCCGAGATCGCGCCATTGCACTCCAGCCTGGGTAACAGGAGCGAAACTCCGTCTCAAAAAAAAAAAAAAAAAAAAGAAATGCCGGAAGAAACATATATGTGTGTACACATATATGTAAATTCATATATAGTACCCACATACACATATATGTGTGCACATATATGTGAATTCATATTCATCTCTTGCTTTTAAGCAGATATTTTATTGGCATCAGAGTTCGGGAAAATGAATTTGACCCAAAAGGAAGAAGGCAACTTACTTTTCTAGATAATATGGTAAAAAAGGCATGCTGATGCAAGTCATATTTGTATTATATGTTAGAGGCCAATAGAATAGTAAAGAACAAACCATGATCAGGAATGTCAACTCTTCCACACATCTCACCCAAAGAATTGGAATGTCAAAAGTGATAGAAATACAATTTTATATCCAAAGAATACATTTAGGCTACTTCTAAGTATCCCGAAATTTCACAGCGAAATTTTAAGAATTTTTATCAATCTAGTTAAGCTTAATGACTCAGAAGAAAAGCTTTTAGAAGCCAGAAACAGACTTATTCTCCACTTTATGTAAAACTGTGAGCTGTGCCAAAATCAACCTGGGAGATGCCATAGTCCTTTTCCTGAGCCATTTCCTCTCTCTGACATTCCCAGGGTAGCACCTGTTTCTCTTCTCCCCTCGTGGTGCTCATTTTACCTGCTTTTATTAAAAGTCACTGTTAGGAAATTATCTGCTAAGGATAAACTAAAGTGGAATTGCTAATAAGTTTTTATGCATTCCTCCTCCTAAGGGTATTTGCATTCTAAAGAGAAAATGCCTTATGACTAAAGAATACTTATCTATAGAATTTGATATATCTGGAATTGATCAACTTTGGACATGCTGCATGAATTTAACATGGGAAGTAAATGATTATTTTAAACAGTGTTTCTCAATCCTTTCAGTCTTGTAAAACCATTTCTGTGTGTGGGTATTTGGCAGATTCTTTGCTTTCCTGTAAATTCTGTTCCAATTGAGTTTAATATTTAGATAAATGTGATTTCAGTTAATTATGGTTACACATTTTAAACTGCAGCATTGTTGAATTACCATGTAAACCCAAACTGAGTATTAACTCAGCTACCAGAGAATCAGCAACGTCTCTTGTATTTTGGTGGGGGAGGGAGGGATGGGGAAAAAAGCCTCTTTCTGCAGACTGAGCCCATGTCACTCCAATGGTTCAATGCTGCTCTCTTGCTTTTAAGGGGAGATTATATTGGCATCAGACTTCGGGAAAATGAATTTGACCCAAAAGGAAGAAGGCAACTCACCTTTCTAGATGATATGGTAAAGAAAGCCATGCTGATGCGGATCATATTTGTGGTATATGTGTATTAAAGAGAGAGAAAAAGATCTAATTTATACCATAAACAAAGCTAATTTTGACACCCATCCCCTGAATGTCCCCTTCCTCATCTTCTCCTTACCCTAAGATTGTTCTTATGGTCATTTCAACCCATTATCCAGAAAGCAAAAAGAGAATGAGAAAATAAAAATCATGAGAGTTATTTGCTATTTAGAAGATTTAAAAGCAAAATTAATGCAAGGTAAAATGTTATATCCATGGAGTTAAAATTTTGACAAAATTAGCGATCATGTAGTTCTCAAAATAATTTATCTACCACTTGCATTATTGGGGGAAAACCAAATAAATTAAGTGACCCCCAAAATCCTTGATGTTATTTATTTTGAAACCCAGACTCAGGATCTGAAAGTTCACATCACAGAAATTAAGGAAGAAACCATATAAAGATCGAATTCAAAAGAAATTAGAAAACTCAGTTTCTTCACTGCGCATTTACTATCCCTGCACTAATAAAAAAGACTCTCTCCCTCCACTCCCCTCTCCTCTCCTTCTCTGGCTAAAGTAGAGGGAGACTCACTGACTTTCAAACCACCCTGGAGCTCAGGAAACAGTTAAGCCTTATTCTCTCTGTACACATATTAAACAGAGAATTTAAGTAGATTAGAGCGGTGCTTCTCAAACTTTAATGAGATCGTATTACAAGGCTGTTTTGATTCAGGAGGTGAAGAGGGGGGCAGGAATTTGCATTTCAAATCCAAAAACAAGTGATGCCAAGGCATCAAACTTTGGATCAAGTTGCAACAATTGGTCATGGTCCAATTCTTCCTGTTTATTTATTCATTTAGGCTCACTATTCAGTTTGGTCCAGTCCCTGAAAGAAATAACTTCACTGTTTAGGAAATGTTAAAACTTTAGAACTCCCCTACAATAATTAAAAGCAAAACCAATCTTCCCTTTCCTGTGTGTGGAGACTGAAAGGAGAGAAGGAATATTTTGATAGACAAATGGTATATATGCTTATGGAACAAGAACTCTTAGGATTACTAGGAAAAGGTAGTCACTATGATAAAAATGAGCATCGAATTGGTTCTCAGCTTTTTACTATAGCAAGTCACTTACTCAGGACTACCCCCCTACCGCCCCATCCTTGCCTCATGCTAATTCCTCTACCTGCGATGTCCTTCCACATCTATAGACATTCTCATCCCACAAGCCCTAGCTCCAATGAAGCTTTCCTCTCTGAAGCTTCCTGGGATTCTAGCTATCTCCCAAGGTAGACATAAAACAGCCCATCCCTCCAAATTCCCACCACACTGCCCCTGTACTCCCGGAAGCACATTTCTGACATTCTACTCACAGAATCAGAAATTGTTCCCTGCGGCCCTCTTCCCCCAACCTTACCTCTTTCTATTTTAAAATTTAGAGAAGGCTCACGCCTATAATCCCAGCACTTTGGGAGGCCGAGACGGGTGGATCATGAGGTCAAGAGATTGAGACCATCCTGGTCAACCTGGTGAAACCCCGTCTCTACTAAAAATACAAAAATTAGCTGGGCATGGTGGCGCACGCCTATAGTCCCAGCTACTTGGGAGGCTGGGGCAGAATTGCTTGAACCCAGGAGGCGGAGGTTGTGGTGAGCCAAGATCGTGCCATTGCACTCCATCCTGGATAACAAGAGCGAAACTCCGTCTCAAAAAAAAGAAAAAGAAATTCAGGGAAACCGAGGCTCAGTGAGCATCAATTACTCATCTAAGGATATTCCGTGAGTTTTTGGCAATACCTAGATTTGAGCCAAGATTTCCTGATTCCCAGTTTAGTATTCTTTTCACTGATCTCTCCTTTCTTTTCCAAACCACAGAAACCAGAATAACTGCTCTAGTGGGAGATAAATGTAATATCTGAAAATCCCAAAATACTTCTGGCTGATTCACCCCTGTGAAGTCTGAGAAAAAAAAATTCTGGCTGAGCATCAGGTTATTAGAGCTAACGATCCTTCCCGTTTGGACTTGACAGACTAAAATAGGCTTAGCAGTGCCATCATCACTGTGTCCAGGGAGTACTTCAGCCAATGTCTAAGCCTGTTTCTTTGCTCTCTGGGCTTCTGCTCCCAGGCACACTATGACTTGGCCATCAACGTTGCTTTGCAATGGCTGGATCCCTCAGAAGACTTAGCTCGGCTGGAGTGGGAGGAAGTGTAAGTTGAAATAGGTTTGTGGCTTTCCTCTTAATTTGTGGCTATGATTAACAATAGAAGAAGTTCTAGCCCTAACATCTTCCATTATGAAGCACTCTGATTTGAAAATACTGCAGGGTGGGTGTATCTGCCTTCAACAAGACACCTGAGGAATCTCCACAGTTGCCAACTTGAAGAAGTTATATGTTTCCATGTTTTGCATCTCTGCTAATTGACTTATGTGAGATGAAAGACTTTCTTGCAAAGAATGTTGTGTCTCAAGGGGCCGGGCATGGTGTCTCCCACCTGTAATCACAGCACTCTGGGAGGCCAAGGCAGACTGATTACTTGAGGCCAAGAGTTCAAGACCAGCCTGTCCAATATGGTGAAACCTCATCTTTATTAAAAAATACAAAAATTCCCCCAGCGTGGTGGCACACACTTGTAGTCCCAGCTGAGGTAGAAGGCTGAGGTAGGAGAGGAGGCTGAGGTAGGAGAGGAGAATCACTTGAACCCAGGAGGCGAAGGTTGCAGTGAGCCAGCATTGTGTCACTGCACTCCAGCCTGGGCAACAGAGTGAGGCTCCATCTCAAAAATAAAGAATGCTCTGTCCTCAAAACATGACTGCTTTATTTGTTTTTTTGTTTTTTGTTTTTTGTTGGGAGACGAAGTCACCCTGTCACCCATGCTGGATAGTTGTGGTGTGATCTGGGCTCACTGCAAATGGGTTCAATCAGTTCTTCTGCCTCAGCTTCCTGAGTAGCTGGGATTATAGGCATGTGCCACCACACCCAGTTTTTGTATTTTTAGTAGAGACAGCATTTCACCATGTTGGCCAGGCTGGTCTCAAACTCCTGACCTCAAGTGCTCCGCCTCCCTCGGCCTCCCGGTGTGCTGGGATTACAGATGTGAGCCCCCACACCTGGCCAAAACAGTCAGTTCTATGGGTAAAAGTTGTGATCTCTTCCTAAGGACTACCGAACAAAATTCTTCAGCATTTAGGCAGGTAAGTACCTGAGCTGAGCTGCTCAAAGCACAGAATAATTTTGTTTCTGGGATTACCGGCATTTTCTCTCATGTGTAGGGAGTGTTCGGGCAGACTCACTCAACTGGTAAGAACACAGAACCAATGAGGACAGGATCAAATGGCTTATTCTGGAGGCCTGTTATTTTTTTCTACTCAGTGGCTGTGGACTACACACCTGATCCTGGAGAGGTGTAACAGTTAGGGTTTAGCTGTAATGAGAGAAAATCCAATTTGAACAGCCTTAAGCAAAAAAAAAAGAAGGAAAGAAAAAGTTGGGGGGTAGATTTTATTGCCCTTGTATCTGAAAAGTCCTTGGGTAGGACTGTGTTAGGCATGGTTTATTTCAAGACTCAAACAACGTCATCAGGATCTACCTCTTGACTCTGTTTCCTCAGGGTGGACACCATTCCTAGTTTCAGCCTATTTCACTCTCCAGGGAAGAGTGAAAAAAAAATATATATATATATATATATATATATATTTTAGTCACATAATTGTGCCTCTGTGGCTGTTACCTGACTTGTCTAGGGGTAGACAGTGGCAGGGCAGGGGAAGTGGAATACACTGACAGCTTAATCCACAGTGTGTTTTTCATCTTTGGACTTTAGGGGTGTTGTCGGCTTCCCCAGAAGCATATAGGCTTACAGTGGGGTTAGGTTGTTCCCACAAAGCGAATTGCCACATGAAGGGGAAAGGATAAGGACTGGCAAAACCGTAAACACCCCCCACAGTGGCCAGTCTGCCAATCTTTGATTGCTGTGAAAGTGTGGATAGATGAGGCCAAGTTCACCACCATTATTGAAAGATTAAAAATTCGAAGTGTGGGTTTCACCAGTGAAGGAACAATCACATCAGTTTTATTAATATAAATAAACAGATAGCACACAGCTATTGCAAATTACTTACTGATTCTCATCACAACGTTAGCAGGCACCAAAAAGAATAAGAATAAATCCTCCACTTGTATTTCCTATTTCCCATTAGGAAAACACCATTCCATGGCAGACCCATCTATCCAAATCGTAGAGAACGAGAAGCTATGATTTTATCATCTTATGCTGGAATCTTAATGGTAAGGAAAAGAATACTATTTCACTTTATGAATATTTTATATCTACTTGGAGCGTTTTTATAGTAATGAATATTTACATTATTTTTCAACCAGTGTTTCTAAATGTTTAGGATTTACTAATAACAAATGTTTCATTTTTTAATGTAATAAAAAAACTTTCATTTTTACACTGTAGGTATAGGTGAAAACATTTATTTCAGAAGTAAAGAAAAAAGATACGCTGTTCAGTGTGGGCTTGCAATATATGGCCTTTTTTTGTGTATTCAGGAACACTTCTATACCTAATTCCCTTTTTTCTATGAAAAGATTTTAAAAAAGAAGAAGAAGAAAGAAAAGAATGAGAAACATAAATAATCGGTATCTGGGAAACTGACTCACCCATTAATCAGAAGTTATTTGCTGTATTTAGTACTCATGATACCCAAGCACAGTTTTAGACATACTGGAGCTATACTAGCTTTGTTTTGTAATAAAAGGAAGCCATGGTATGCTCATACTTTGTTATTGCTGTTTTCGTTTAACAGAACAGTATCCCAATTGAAGAAGTCTTTAAAATTTATGGGGCTGATTTTTCTGCCAATTCTGGTACCATCAAGGTAAGGGTGACCAGATTGTCAATATAAAAGATTTTTAGAGAGAATTTATTTAACATAAAAATGTATAATGTCATATTTTCAGACATCAATTATGAAATAACAGTTTTTATATCAAAAGGTACAAAACCAGACGTAACCATTTCTTACTTAAATAACATGTTTGTAAAATGCCTTTCATATGTAAAAGACCATGTGGTAATAACAAATGTATCTGTGTAAGGCTGAGAAGGGGAAGCAAAGAGAATACCAGGCTTGGGGGCCAAATTTTACTCCGTTGTGATTTTGGTTTTTTTTGAGACAGAGTCTCGCTCTGTCACCCAGGCTGGAGTGTAATGGCGCGATCTCGGCTCACCACACCTCTGTCTCCTGGCTTCAAGCAATTCTAGTGCCTCAGCCTCCCAAGTAGATGGGACTACTGGCGCGCACCACCAAACCCGGCTAATTTTGTATTTTTTGGTAAAGACAGGGTTTTGCCACATTGGCCAAGCTAGTCTCAAACTCTTGGCCTCAAGTGATCCACTTGCCTTGGCCTCCTAAATTACTAGGACTACAGGTGTGAGCCACCACACCAGACCTCTGCTCTGTTTCTAATTAATGTAATTTCTCACACTTTGTGTAATGTAGATCTGATATGTCCGCACTCTTCTCTTCTATGAGGTACTGTGTCTCCTAGAACTAGGACAAGATCCACAAGGCTCATTCTCGTGACAAATTCCCTATTTTATTGTTGATACATCTTCCTTTCCCACAACACTACTTTTTAAAAAGACTGGTCCACTACTGATCTCAAATTCCTGGGCTCCAGTAATCCTTGAAATCCTGGTCTTAGCCTCCTATGTAACTGGAACCCTACAGGTGTGAGCTCCACTCCCAGCTCCTCCCATGAAACTACTTTGAAATCACTAACAGTAGAAGCAGCAATGACCTGGGAGTTCAGAGAGCTGGGTTTGAGTTCTGACTCCACTACTATGAAGACCTAGATGTGTCCACCTCCCGCTTTGGACCTCCATACGACTGATCTTAAAAAAAAAAAAAAAAAAAAAAAGTGTTCTGGATGATTTTAAGACCACTTTCATTTTTGCCATTTGTAAATATATGACCATTAAGCAAACATTTAAATATGAACTGCTATTTAGAGGTGAACTACTGATCCCTTCACCTTTGGATACCTCTAGAAGAGGGAAGAGGAAAGGGAAGGTGGGGTGGCAAGGGGCCTGCAGTGGGAGGAGGGAAGGGGGAACCAACATCCTCATGACCAGGTCTTCTACTCACGCTGTGGCCTTCCCTGCCTCCACCTGGATTCAGAAGGGAGGGCAGGGCAGGGGCAGCGCTGTGACCATGGGAATGCCTGCCTCCCTCGCTCCTTCACTGCAGATCACAGTGCAAGCAGTGAGGTCATGTAGAGGTCAAGAGCTTACCAGGTCCAACTTAGGAGTCAAGTGTTTACATTGAAACCAACCTTCCTATCACCTTAACCCACATGTTACCTGGCTATAGTCCTGAGACTCAAATGTCCTTGATCACTGTGAAAATCAGAACTTTCTCTTTGATCCCTCTAGTTTCAACTCACTTCATTCATTCATTCATCCATCCATTCATTCATTCATCTGTTCATTCAGTATAATTGTAGGTGCAGACAATGCAGTAGTGAGCAAGTCAGACAAGATTACTTTTTAAAGACTTTTTTTGTAGGCCGGGCACAGTGGTTCACGCCTGTAATCCCAGCACTTTGGGAGGCAGAGGCAGGTGGATCACCTGAGGTCAGGAGCTTGAGACCAGCCTGGCAAACATGGTGAAACTCCATCTCTACTACAAATACAAAAAATTAGCCAGGTGTGGTGGCAGTTGCCTGTAATCTCAACTACTGGGGAGGCTGAGGCAGGAGAATCACTTGAACCCAGAGGGCGGAGGTTGCAGTGAGCCCAGATTGTGCCATTGCACTCCAGACTGAGCAACAGAGCTAACCTCCATCTCAAAAAAAAACAAAAAACAAAACAAAAAAAAAAAACATAAAGGTGCTAGAATAGAAGGGGAAGACAGGCCAGGCCATGCAGAGGTGGACCAACCAATCTCTACCTATCCATCTGATCACTCTTTTATTCATTGAAGAGCCTTTGTTCAGCACCTTCATTGAACATCATAGATGCTGACTTCTCTTTTTGGTTTTGGTGTTTTTTTTGAGAGAGAGTTTCCCTCTTGTTGCCCAGGCTGGAGTACAATGGCGTGATCTCGGCTCACTACAATCTACACCTCCTGAGTTCAAGCAATTCTCCTGCCTCAGCCTCCCAAATAGCTGGGATTGCAGGCATGTGCTACCACACCCTGCTAATTTTGTATATTTAGTAGAGATGGGCTTTCATCATGTTGGTCAGGCTGTTCTCGAACCCCTGATCTCAGGTGATCCACCCGCCTCAGCCACCCAAAGTGCTGGGATTACAAGCATGAGGCACCGCGCCTGGCCACTTGTATTGGTATTTGTTTATTGCATTTGTTTATTGCTATGTGATGTGAACAATGTCTCATTTATAAATATATATACATAATATTATATATATACATATATACAATATTATATATATATATATACATATATATATATATATGTATATGAAACCAAGAGGCAGGCTGTGTGATGTTAAGCACTAAGATTCCAAAGCCTGGCTTCCTGGGTTTGAATCCCAGCTCCACCATTTACAAGCAGAATAATCCTGGGCAAATGTTCTAACCTCTGTAATTCTCAATTGCATTTGTAAAAACAGGGATGAGAAGATGAGGGTTGTTGTGGGATGAAGTAAGTTAGAATCAATGAAGCCCTTTGTGTCTGGCACATAGTAACCTCCAAATAACAGCTTTAATTAAAGTTCTCTGGTACTCAGGGGATGGGTATCTGATTTATTCTGTGTTCCTCTAAATCAGGATTTCTCATTTAGGACCAGATAATCTTTTATTGTGTGTATAGGAGGTGGAGGTCTGGAGCTGTCCTGTGCATTGTGAGATGTTTCACAGCATCCTTGGCCTCTACCCATTAGATGCAAGTAGCGTCTCTCCCATCGTGACAATTAAAAATGTCAGCCAGGTGTGGGGCTCACGCCTGTAATCCCAGCACTTTGGGAGGCTGAGGTGGGAGGATTGCTTGAGGTCAGGAGTTTGAGACCGGCCTGCCCAACATGGTGAAAACCCCATCTCTACTAAAAATACAAAAACTAGCTAAGCGTGGTGGTGAGCACCTGTAATCCCAGCTACTTGGGACGCTGAGGTAGGAGAATTGCTTGAACCCTGGAGGCAGAGGTTGCAGGGAGTGGAGATGGTGCCCCTGCCCTCCAGTCTGGGAGACAGAGTAGGACTTTGTCTCAAAAAAAAAAAAAAAAAAAGGCTCTAGACTTTGCCAAATGTCTCCAGGAAGGCAAAATCACATGAGATAGAGAACTACTGCTCTAAATATTCAAACATTAAATAGCTAATCAAGCATCCACATGTATTATTAATACAATGTACACTCTGCCTCTTTTGGAAAACCAGTGATTACAGAGGGTGTCATTTGAGTTACCAACATCAGAACCTAAGAGCCTTCACAAGCTCCTCCCACCTCCAGAACACCAGCTCAGACTGTACTCTTGTAATTACACATCAGCTGCACGCAGGGACTTTTGCCACATCTTGAATAAGGAATTAGCAGGACCTCTCCATGGAAATATACCTATATCAAAGACTGAACTGTAAGCCTATTTTAAAAAAGTCTTTTTGGGATTTAACATAATTTTTTAAAAAATGGTTTTAACTAGAAAGAGGAGTTTTTAAAAAAGATATTGCTAAGATTCTTCTTTCAATTGCTGCGTATATCTGAATGACCTTTGATTCCTTCTGATGAAATGTCTCCTAAGCAACAGCTGAAATCCTTCCCAGGCAAAAGCTTAAAACCCTGTTGAATGCTAATCAGATTTTTGAGACAGAGTAGAATTTCCTGCCACTGGAATTGGCCGCATGACACAATATGGTTACTGTGCTAGGCTTGACGGCTAGCACAGGACTATGTGCTGCCACCTGATGGTAGAAAGGCGTCATAGGCGCGGGGTTGCTTACCAACTCTGTCAGCTGAGAGGGAGTTGGTTTTTGCTAGCTTTTTTCTGCTGAGGATTCTGGACTCACAGAAAAAATTCAACTAAGGGCCGATAAATATAAAATGTCTTACTCTTTTTTTCTGAACCCAGGCTGGAGTGCAGTGGTGTGATCTTGGCTCTCTGCAACCTCTGACCCCCGGGTTCAAGAGATTCTCCTGCCTCAAGCTTCCAAGTAGCTGGAATTACAGGTGCACACCACTGTGCATGGCTAATTTTTTGTATATTTAGTAGAGACGAGGTTTTGCAGTGTTGGCCAGGCTGGTCTTGAACTCCTGACCTCAAGTAATCCAACTGCCTCGGCCTCCCAAAGTGCTGGGATTACAGGGTGAGCCACTGTGCCAGACTGTCTTACTCAATTTTAAACTGAAGAAAAGAGAACATAAATCTTCCTTCAATAAATCAAACAAAAATAAAAATACTCTCCAGCTCCATTTGATGGAGAAAGAGGGAGACAGAGAGAGTGGAAATGAGCACATAAGAGAGGGAAGAGACAAAGGCAGGTACGCAGACAACACTAGAACCTCTGCTTGCTTGCTTTTCTTTTTTTCTTTCTTTTATTTTTTGGAAACGGAGCTTTGCTCTTGTTGCCCAGGCTGGAGTGTAATGGTGCAATCTTGGCTCACTGCAATCTCTGCCTCCCGGGTTCAAGCGATTCTCCTGCCAGCCTCCCAAGTAGCTGGGATTACAGGCATGCGCCACCACACCTGACTAATTTTGTATTTTTAGTAGAGATGGGATTTCTCCATGTTGGTCAGGCAGGTCTTGAACTGCCAACCTCAGGTGATCCACCCACCTCAGCCTCCTAAAGTGCTGGGATTACAGGCATGAGCCACCACGCCCGGCCTGCTTTCCTTCTTTCTTCATGAAGCTGGACCTTGGCATCTTACTGGCTGTCATTCAATTCCATCCTAACTGACATCCAAGTCCAGAGCATGTCACAGGCAAACAGACTGATGTCCAGTCCCAGCTTTGTCACTTGCTAGCTGTGTGTCTTCGGATAAGTTATTTCTTTCTGATTCCCAATTTCCCCATATGTAAACAGGCATGTCTAAACAGGCATAATTACACTTACCCACACACACTTGATCACTCTGAGGACTCAGTGAGACCAGAGGTGTAGAGCATATGATGGTGATACCAGGGGATCTTCCATATTAGTGCTGCTATTTCCAAGTTCACCCCCACTCAGAATGGCCAGCCTCCTTCCTCCTGATAGCAGCCTGGTCCCTTTGTGATAGGCCTGGCTTCCACCCTCTCTTAATTACTCCAATAATTTGCCAAGTGTAACTCTGACTGAATTGTGCAGAAATTTTAAAATGTTTTCATGGTAAGGGGAGGGACCTATGTTTTAAACAAATGTTCAGTATTAACAGATCTTAATCCTGAGGAATTGGCTAGGCACAGTACCTGTAATCCCAGCACTTTAAGAGGCTGAAGCAGGAGAATCACTTGAGCCCAGGCTAAGCAACATGGCAAAACCTATCTCTACCAAAAAATACAAAAATTAGCCAGGCATGGTATTGTGTCTGCAGTCCCCGCTTCTTCAGAGGCTGGGATGGGAGGATCATTTGAACCTGGGAGGTAGAGGTTGCAGGGAGCCATCATCTCACCACTGTACTCCAGCCGGAGTGACAGAGTGAGACCCTGTCTCAAAAATTAATAACAATAGTAAAAGAGGGATTAAAAACAAACTTTCAATATTATGTCCAAATGAACACTTAACAAAATATATTTAAAGGACAAAGACCAAGCCAACAAACAAATCCAAGTGTATAAAGGGAGCAGTATCAGCAGTTTTAAAGCTCTCTGTGTACCCTCTCCTGTCTCATACCCTTCCTTTCGCCATAGGTTACCACTATTTTGAATCATGCGTTTATTATTGTCTTTTGCTTCTTTATAATTTTACCACATTTTCATCTCTAATCTATATATTGTTTAATTTGCACATTTTTTAGTTTCTTATAAATAGGATATTAGCAAATCTGTTATTTAATGGCTTCCTTTTTTCGTTCAACATTATATTTCAGAAGCATTCATATTGCTGCACATAGCTATAGTTTCTTTTCATTACATACAGTATTCCACTCTACGAATATACTACAGCGTTGTCATATATTTTTCCTTTTCAGGCACTTGAGTTTTTTTGTTCTTTTTTTTTTTTTTTTTTTTGAGACAAAGTTTCACTCTTGTTGCCCAGGCTGGAGTGCAGTGGCACAGTCTCAGCTCACTGCAACCTCTGCCTCCCAGGTTCAAGTGATTCTTCTGCCTCAGCCTCCCGAGTAGCTGGGATTACAGGCATCCGTCACCACACCCAGTTAATTTTTTGTATTTTTAGTAGAGACAGGGTTTTGCAATGTTGGCCATGTTGGCCTCAAACTCCTGACCTCACATGACCCACTGGCCTCGGCCTCCCAAAGTGTTGGGATTACTGGCATGAGCCACTGCACCTGGCTGAGTTATTTCTTGCAAAAGCAAGAAGAGTTGCACAGCAAATGAGTTTCTGAATGGTATATGCTTAGGAATGAAATTGCTAAGCCATGGATATAAGCATCTTCAACTCCCTACATAAAGCTAAATTGCTTTCCCAAAATGGTTGTAACAATTATACTTCTACCAGCAATGCGGGTTATCTACATTGATATTTTCAGGCTTTTACAGTTTCATCAGTCTGTTTCATGTATTGCGGTATTTCACGGTGGTTTACATTTGCATTCCCCTGATTACCAATGGACAACTATTCATATGTTTCTTCTTCTGTAAAGTGCCTATTAAAAAGACTTTTGGCCAGATGAGTGAACTAATAATAATGCACTGGGTGGGCAGGGGGAAACAGTGCCAGTAAGGGAGAGTGGGCATGGGAGGACATCAGGATACATTTCTCAGAAGGGGTAATATTTGAGTTACATGGTAAAGGAGAGGTAGGTGTCTCTAGGCAGAAAAGGAGGAAATGTCTAGAATGGAAACTAAGTGAAGAGTGTCAATGCATGACAGAGTATTCTAGGCAATGGGAACCAAACACAGGAACAAAAGGCCATGTGTGTAAGTTTGCGTTCATCTGCTTCACTTGCCCGGTCAATGGACCGTGAGGACCTAAGGATTCTCAGTTGATCAAACAGGCCAAATGCTGTAAATAGCAGGTGTTAATGATGCAGAGAATTAACAGATTTTTAAAGTAGGGCTGTCTTCCTTTCAGGTTCCCCGAGTTTCATCTCTCCACCTCTCCTTGCACCCCTTTGCCATGTTAACAGCACCCAAAGCAGCAGAATACGCCCGCAAACAGAGTAAGCCTGTTTACTTTCATCTGCTTAGAGAAATGTAAGTAAAATGAGGAAGTGGGCTCACAAGGTAAGGTCGAAGTTGTAATGGGAATTAGATTTCTGTGTCTGCTTGAATTTAAAAGAACCAGGAGCTCTGGGGCTTGATTTCCCTCCTTTACCTAAATCAAGGAAGTCTCATTTCTCAGATGCTCTTTGGTGATGGAAGCAAAGCACTCCCGACGCAAAGGACTAAGACTATGAGTGGGCTGGACAGGGCAGCTCACACTGGTAATCCCAGCACTTTGGGAGGCCAGGCTGAGAGGATCTCTTGCGCCCAGGAGTTTGAGACCAGCCTGGGAAATTTAGTGAAACTTCATCTCTACAAAAATAAGCCCAGAGTGGTGGCTCACGCCTGTAATCCCAGCACTTTGGGAGGCCGAGGCAGGTGGATCACCTGAGGTCAGGAGTTTGAGACCAACCTGACCAACATGGTAAAACCCCACCTCTACTAAAAATACAAAAATTAGCTGGGTGTGAGGTCGGGCACCTGTAATCCCAGCTACTCCGGAGGCTGAGGTGAGATAATCGATTGAATCTGGGAGGTGGAGGTTGCAGTAACCTGAACTCACCCCATTGCACTCCAGCCTGGGCAGCAAGAGCAAAACTCCATCTAAAAAAAAAAAAAAAAAAAAAAAGCAAAGAAACAAAAATAAAATAGCTGGCCATGGTGGCACACTCCTCTAGTCCCACCTACTCAGGAGGCTGAGGTGGGAGGATTGTTAGAGGTCAGGAGGCGGAGGCTGCAATTGGCCGTAATGGAACCACTGCACTCCAGCCTGGGTGACAGAGTGAGACCCTGTCTCAAAAATAATTAATTAATGAAATGAAATGAAACTGTGGATGAACACATTTTAAAAAAAAATTTTATGTACAGTTACTGTATCTATCTGTAGGTGTCAAGTCAAGAAAGGGAACAACAAACAAAAATGCCACCAGCAGCTCTACGAAGGAAGCAAATGCCACAGAATGGAAATCATCGCAGAGGTTTTCAGACACACAGCCAAAGAACAAAGTAGGTGTGAAATTGTGAATTTGACCAAACTGATACTAGATATTTTGGAACTACTTTCCTGATAGTGTGGTTAAAAGTCTAGCCTTCGGAGTCATATGCTCTTGGTTTGAATCTAGAGCCCACCACTTACCAGCTGTGTGACTTCAGGCCAGCTACTTAAACTCTTCTGTGCCTTAGGTCCCTCCTCTGCAAAATGGGAAGAATAATGATACCTACCTCTTCAGGTTGTTGGGAAGATTAACTGAGATTATTCATGTTAAAAGGTTAGACGATGCTTAACACAGAGTAAACCCCAAATAAATACTAGCCATTATTATCTTTTCAGCATGTGAAATATATTATTCACAAGTTAATTGGCTGTTACTCTGTAGATGCAAATAGGTATGTTGAGGAGAAAGTTTGTATTAGTATCTGTATCCCAAATGTTCCTATCCTTGATCCTCTCTCAGTAATAATAACTTTCTTTTTTCTTGTTTAATGTCTCCCCTGCTTCTGCCCTGTCCATCTAATTCCTGATTTTTATGTGGTGGAATTCAGAGAATGGTCAGAGATGGAAAGGGCTGGAAAGAAAGGAGAAAGGGAAGAGGGCTCTTTGTTCTTCCAGCTCTGGGCTCTCAACTGTCAGAGAGACTTCTCTGATCAACATAATAAAAGCTGAGAAGGGAGAGAATCGGCAAAGTGGTACAGGGTGGGTGTCTGGGATATTTTAGAGTTTTGTTGAATGAGAGATGTCAGATATGCCGGAGAGCTGTAAGGTAGAAGAGCAGGAAGGGAGCTTGGAGAACTGATAGTCGACTTGTGATTGGGTTTGCATCCGGAAACAAGTGGCGTTTGAAAATTATTTAGTTTGGCTGTTGTACTATGCTTTTTTTTTTTTTTTTTTGTCTTTTTGTTTTTTTCCTTTTTGTGGAGAATGAGGTCTCGCTGTATCGCCCAGGCAGGTCTTAAACTCCTGGGCTCAAGCTATCCTCCTGCCTCTGCCTCCCTAAGAGCTGGGATTACAGGTGTGAGCCACAGCGCCAGACTGTACCATTCATTTTTAAACTGAATCTCTTAATAGACTGGACTACGTGAGGTTTAGGATTTATTCATATTTCAGAGGCAAACTATCTTCTCTGTCCCTTTTATCTGATTAATTAGAAATGCAACCCTATCATAGCAACTGCTTTAGGAACCAGTTGAATTCTTTGGTCACATCAGGGTCTTAATAAATGTTATTCTGATAACAAAACTATTGCAACTATTTGGAAGTTATCACAATATTCGATTTTCCTTTAAATGCATTTGCTGTAATAAGATTTGAAGGTATTAGATTTTCTAGAACCATGCCTTTGTTTCTGAAGAATTTTTTGAAGAATTTGAAAATGAGGGTTTTTTTTTATACATGTTTAGAAGTAGCAAGTTTTAGAAAGCAAAACAAAGCAACAATGAAAGAACAGTAACAACTCCAGAAAGTACACACACACACACACACACACACACACACACACACACACAATCTAGACTTTAAACTTAATCACACACAAGAAAAATCTCTGAAACAGGGCTTCATAGATCCCCAACAAGCCTCATCAATGGACCCCATGTAAGAAAAACATAGCTCTAAAGATTACTCATTGGTATCTTATTTTTAAATATAATTTTGTTCCATATATATTTTCTTCCACAACCACTGAAGATTGTTGGATTCTTATGGAAGCGTATCTTTTATTTCCTTAGTATTTCTCACACGTATATAAAGTACTTTGCAGGCAGCACAGATTCAGTAACTATTTTTGTTTAGTGAATTGTCAGTAGGTAGTAAGGAATAGTCCTTAGGTGACCATTCTCAAATCTCTGGGCCCTGTCTATAGTGATCTAAGGCTCAGTTCTGGGACCAGACCTTTCTATAAGCTGACTGATGCTTTCGAGCCCAGGAGTGTCAAAAGAACAAATGCCCATTTTGCAGTAGGGCCCCAGGTCCTGAGATGAATCCCTTCCAGAAAGGCCCTTTCTTAATAATCAAATGACAGAAAATCCATTTGTGTTTTTTTCTTTCATACTTTATTATTTGTGTACTTTAGGCATTTTTCCAGCTCCTGGGTAATGTGTCTTTTAAACTAATTTTAAAAATTATAATAGTGATACATGCTTATAAGTAAAATTTTCATGCCATACAGAAATATAAAATGAAAAGCAAAAGAATTCCCTCTTCTTCATACCCCTTTCCCACTTTTCAGAAATAACCACTGTTAATACTTCTTGTGATATTTAAATATTTGCTACACATATACATGTAAGTATACATATATGTATGTCTCACTGGTTTGTTAGAACTCTTTCTATATTAAAGGAATAAGTATTTCATTAAATGAATGAAAAATATGCTTTCACAGCTTGGTGTTTGAAGATTTTCTTTTTAAACATTTGAGCTTAACTTTTTTTTTATGAGCTTGTGGATATTACATGTCTTTAAGCTGAAGAACAATTTTTTTAACCTCAAGATAAAACAATGCCTTATTCAGAATTTTTTATTTATTTCCAGCCACCAAATTTCTTCAAAGAGTAAGAGAAGAATTTTTTATTTATTTCCAGCCACCAAATTTCTTCAAAGAGTAAGAGAAAAGAGGAAATTATTAAAAAAAAAAAAAAAATCTCAGCCGGACACAATAGCTCATGCCTGTAATCTCAGCACTTTGGGAGGCCAAGACAGGCAGATCACTTGAGGTCAGGAATTCAAGACCAGCCTGGCCAACATGGCAAAACCCTGTCTCTACTAAAAATACAAAAATTAGCTGGGTGTGATGGTGCATGCCTATAATACCAGTTACTAGGGAGGATGAGGTGCAAGAATTGCTTGAACCCGGGAGGCAGAGGTTGTAGTGAGCTGAGACAGCACCAGTGCATTCCAGCCTGGGCAACAGAGTGAGACTCTATGTCAAAACAAACAAGCAAACTCTCAGGTTTCTGGGAAATAGCTTAAACAATTTTTTTATTGCATTGGTATTAGTAGCTGATTTATTAGTGAAAATAGTGATGAACAACATTTCCTAGGAAAGTGTCAGTAGTGGGCACACTACTAGGAAGTAAATTTGGAAGGAACAGGACCATACTAAAGAGCTAGAAGACAGCATACTTCTTGAATCCAAGCTATCCACCTCATAACTTGAGAGTTACCTAATTTCTCTGTACCTTAGCTTTTCATCTCTTTAAAAAATCATAATAGTACCTACCTCATAGGGTTGACATAAGCACTAAAATAAGTTATAAGCATAAAGGCTTAGAAAAGTGTCAGGACAGTGGCAAGCAATAATATAGTCGCTCCCTTTATCACCACTCATGAAACAGTCACGCTATCATGGAAGGAAAGGAGACATAGAGAGTGGACAATTTAAATTTAAATCTAAAGCAATACATCAGAAATTCAAAATAATGTCCTAAAAGCATAATACATAACTGCTGAAAGGCCAAAAAATTATTTGCTTTGGGTAGGATTGGTTAAGAGAAGTACAACTTTTTAATGTGAAAATAATTTCAAACTTAGAGAAAATTTGCAAGAATAATATGAAAAGAACCCACATATTCTTTTTTTTTTTTTTATTTTGAGTTGGAGTCTCCCTCTGATGCCCAGCCTGGAGTGCAGTGGCACAATCTCAGCTCACTGCAACCTCCACCTCCTGGGTTCAAGTGATTCTCCTGCCTCAGCTTCTCGAGTTGCTGGGACTCGAGAATGTGCCACATGCCCAGCTAATTTTTGTATTTTTAGTAGAGATGGGTTTTCACCATATTGGCCAGGCTGGTCTCAAACTCCTGACCTTGTGATCCACCCACCTAAGTGCTGGGATTACAGGCGTGAGCCATGATGCCCAGCCACATATTCCTTTTATACAGAGTCACTAATTGTTAATGTTTTGTTTTATTAGCTTTATTATATTCTCTCTGTCTTTGTCTCTCTGTATATAGATAAATATATATAATTATCTTGCACCATTAGTAGAAGTTATACACGCTCTACCACTTTACCCCTATGTACCTCGATGTGTATTTCTTAAGAACAAAGTCATTCTCTTAGATAACTCAAGAATAGTTATCGATTTCAGAATATCTATTATTAGTACCTTTATTTAATCTACTCTCTATACACCAATTTTGTCAATTGACTCAATAATGTTATTTGTAAGCATTTTTTCCTTCTGCATAAGATCAAGTATGGGATCACAAATTGCATTTAGTTGGGAAATATAACTCAATTTCCAAATGTCAGAATAATTTCATGGAAATTCCTTTGTAATTAATCTAATCTCTTTGTCAATAAGTTAGTATCTGATATTTGAACTTAACTTCCTATAGATTTAAAGCTAATATCTGTGTCCATGTTAAATTGATGTGCTCGATACCAAAATCATCTTTTAATCTGTAGGTCACTTAGAAAATTGGAGTTGTACCATGGAACTTCATAGAGTCTCTGGGAGCAGACGAGAAGCATCATCTTAAAACTACGGTTCCTGCCAGTACATTTTTCTTTACAACTAGTTTTTGATACAACTGCATTGAAGTGTTATTTTTGATGTTGAGCTTTTTTCTTTTAGAAGCATATTGCATGGCTACATTTTGTTAAAAAAAAATAGGATCTTATGCTACTTCACTGTGACTAGAAGACTGTTGGAGAATTCAGAGAGTATATAGTATTTCTGTGACAGAGCAAGCTGGCTTTGTGGCACATTTTACAAATGTATGGCACTGAACATTGCACAGTGTTGGAGAAGGAGGCAATTTTCCAAAGAGTTAATCCAAAATAAAATTAATCTGTCATTGATTGCCTTTACTGTGCTCTCATATGAAAAAAAGTTTTAATTCATTTCAATAAAGCATTAAAAGAAAAATGAATACAGGCTCTCTCTCAGTAGACTATAATGACTTCTAGGAGGGAAAATGTTCTAGTCTTCCAGTACCTTTCCAAAGGCACATGGCTTAGCCTGTCAATGTATGTAATAACAACTTGAGCTCATGAATATCAGTATGCATGATACATTTCTTAAGGTTTTGGTGTGCCGTCTGTCTATAGAACAGTTTTCATCAACGTGTGCGAAAACATGGGTGGGGGTTGTAGACTTTTTTTTTGAGACAGACTCTCGCTCTGTCACCAGGCTGGAGTGAAGTGGTGCAGTCTCGCCTCACTGCAACCTTCACCTCCCGGGTTCAAGCAATTCTCCTGCCTCAGTCTCCTGAATAGCTGGGACTACAGTGCGTGCCACCACACCCAGCTAATTTTTGTATTTTTAATAGAGACAGGGTTTCACCATGCTGGCCAGAATGGTCTCGATCTCTTGACCTCGTGATCTGCCTGCCTTGGCCTCCCAAAGTGCTAGGATTGCAGGCGTGAGCCACTGCGCCCGACCGTGGTTTGTAGACTTTATGAAAATGGTGGTGTATTCTCACAGAGGGTTGTGGCTGGGAGACCAATGCAACCTTTTCCACACTAGGTTTGATTATGGCTGTAAATAAGATTTACCTGTAGGCCTGCAGATAATTAGTGGGGAGTCAGAGGAAATCTTGACATGATCCCTGCATGCACTGCCAGGTGTCTAATTCATAGGACTTCGCCCAGTTTTCTTTTGTCTAGCTCTGCTAGTAATGAGGAAACATTTTTTCCTTGGTAGCTATTGCTGTCTCTCCTTTTACCACCTGCACATTTGCCTTATATGCTGCCCGAGGATCTTCATAAGTGACATCGTGAATGTGTTTGCTAGCTGTGGTCAAATACTCTTTTAGAATCCCTCTGTGGGTCTAAAGCACAAAGGTGCTTGATTTCATCGTGCTACATACATGTGGAATAACAAAAGACAGTCTGGGGTTAGAGTCACCCTCCACCCTTGCACATCTGAGGAATGCTTCAAAATCAATAGGTTGGCAGCAATAGAGAATTCTCTTAGGTAGTCACTTGAATTCAATGAAACAGTGACACTATTGAAAGGAAAAACACAGGCAAATCATCATGCTAATTTTAAAAAACAAAAGCAGCCGGGCGCGGTGGCTCAAGCCTGTAATCCCAGCACTTTGGGAGGCTGAGGCGGATGGATCACGAGGTCAAGAGATCGAGACCATCCTGGTCAACATGGTGAAACCCCGTCTCTACTAAAAATACAAAAAATTAGCTGGGCATGGTGGCACGTGCCTGTAATCCCAGCTACTCAGGAGGCTGAGGCAGGAGAATTGCCTGAACCCAGGAGGCGGAGGTTGCGATGAGCCGAGATCGCGCCATTGCACTCCAGCCTGGGTAACAAGAGCAAAAACTCTGTCTCAAAAAAAAAAACAACAACAACAAAAAAAAAAAAAAAAAAAAAAAAAAGCAATGCTAGAAGCAGGGCAGCAGAGGGAGGTGGGAGGGAAGTGGAAGGATCCTGTGGATGTTTCTGCTCTTTCACCCTTTCACAGACTCTCAGGGTATCTTTTTATTTTTAGCTTAAGTAGTGTTTAATCTCTAGGCGAAATATGCCTATTTCCAGTATTTACTGATTTTCACCACCATACATTTAAACATTGATTTTATTATATTTTCATATCACGAAATTGTTTTATTTATAATAGAATTTTTTTTTCTGTCTGAAGACGGCAGATATAATAGAAATTAAGAAAATAGCAACAGCGGCCGGGCGTGGTGGCTCATGCCTGTAATCCAAGCACTTTGGAGGTCAAGGCGGGCAGATCACCTGAGGTCGGGAGTTCAAGACCAGCCTGACCAACATGGTGAAATCCCGTCTTTGAGAAAAAAAAAAAAAAAAAGAAAAAGAAAATAGCAACAAAAAACACGCAAAGCTAAGATCTATAATCTTGGCATTTATTGATTACCATGATGGATATGTTGGTATAGCACACTCTATTAATCTTATGTTTTCCCTACATAAACATATACAAAATATTTTTATCAAAACCATGTCATACTGATGAAGTCATTTAAGAAATATAACTGTCCTTCAATTAGAGGATTTTCTGTTTGGGATTTTTTTGTTGCCTCTTCACACTTCAAGTCCTTCTGGAACACACATACTTCTCCTAAGTGGCCTTGGATGGAACCACCAACCTCCATCTCAGCAGTTTCCACAGGCGAACACTGCAGAATGCTGGGCATGTAATGGATTTCTAGTGAGCTGCATGGAATGAGAAGTGTACCCTTTGTCTCCAAGGTCATAATGGCTCTGCTGACTTTAATACCTTTCACTGGAACCAGTGAGGACGACTGGAAAATGCCAGAGAGAGAGCATGAGAGAGCCCCCTGCCCCATGATCTCAAATGGAAAAAAAAAAAAGAGAGAACACAGAAATCCCCTATGCACTACCCGCCGGTCCCTTTTGTGTTGTTTTTGCCAACACAGAAGCTTTCCTGCTATATATAACAGCTGTCCCTTTGATCCCATCATTCTAGATGCTCATCACCCGCTGTCAACAACCATGGGGAAGGTGAGCCTGTGGAGGTGCTGTGCCATGTCTATTGGGGGTGTGGTGTGTGGGGATGTTTCTTCCAGCTGACTATCTACTGTCAACTTGTTTCTACCTCAGATCACCTTCTACGAGGACCGAGACTTTCAGGGCCGCTGCTACAACTGCATCGGGGACTGCCCCAACCTGCGGGTCTACTTCAGCCGCTGCAACTCTATCCGAGTGGACAGTGGCTGCTGGATGATCTATGAGCGCCCCAATTACCAGGGCCACCAGTACTTCCTGCGCCGAGGCGAGTACCCCGACTATCAGCACTGGATGGGCCTCAGTGACTCGGTCCGATCCTGCCGTATAATTCCTGATGTGAGTCTTGCTTCAACCTGACTGACGTGAAAGAATCAATGATCTATGGCCATCAATTCCTGCTTATAAAAGGCAGTTAGTTCCAAATCAGGATGAGTATTCACAGTAAGAAGAGGAAGACCTGACCCTCAAACATTAAAAAAAAGAAAAGTAACAATAATCTCTATTTTTCTTACTTAAGGACATCAATAATTGTTTCAGGGCATGAGAAATCACAACAGCGTTTAAATTAAACTTTGTAGCATCTAAGTCATCCTTAATTTCTATATAAAAGTCACCTTACTCAGTAGTAAAAAAAAAAAAGTCTGTCTAGTTTATCTAGATAATTATTGTTATTATTATTTATGAAATGGAGTCTTGCTCTGTCACCAGGCTGGAGTTCAGTGGCTCGATTTCTGCTCACTGCAACCTCCACCTCCCAGGTTCAATTGATTCTCCTGCCTCAGCCTCCAGAGCAGCTAGGACTACAGGCATGTACCACCACGCCTGGATTATTTTTGTAGTTTTAGTAGACATGGGGTTTCACCATATTGGCCAGGCTGGTCTCGAACTCCTGACCTCATGATCCACCCACCTCAGCCTCCCAAAGTGTTGAGATTACAGGCGTGAGCCATGGCAAACAGCTAGATAATTACTTTTTAATGATAAAAAAACTTAACAGACTGTGGAAGAATAATATAGGTATAATGTGTTCTGACTGCATCGGGAATTTTTTTCACTACATTCTAGGACATACTAGAAACTAGGAAAATATGTTTCAATTTGTGTGGATTTATAATTTCCAGAAGTCATTAACAACTACTTTCTTACAAATATCAGAGACAGACAATTAATTAGGATTTCATAGAACATGGTCCTCACCAAAGTGTTGCTTAATGTTTTTTAATCACGTGCAGCATGTGTTTATACTGATGGCACCAAATTATGTGGTGTGACAAGGAGATTCAAGAACTGAAACCACAGCCAGGCTCGGTGGCTCACACCCATAATCCCAGCACTTTGAGAGGCTGAGCTGGGTAGATCATTCGAGGTCAGGAGTTCAAGACCAGCCTGGCCAACATGGTGAAACCCTGTCTCTACCAAAAATACAACAAAATTAGCCAGGCATGGTACTGTGTGCCTGTAGTCCCAGCTAAGTGGGAGGCTGAGACAGGAGAATTGCTTGAACCCGGGAAGTGGAGGCTGCAGTAAGCTGAGACTGTGCCACTGAAGTCCAGCCTGGGTGACAGAGCGAGACCTCATCTCATAAAAAGAGAAAAGAAAAAAAAAATTTAGGCTAGAAAAATTTGCAGATGCACAAAGATATAAATAAAATAGGTATTTCTTTGGGGCAAGAAACTCAAATGGCACAAATGACTTGTTAAAATATCACTTGAAAAGACATGTGGGGCCGGACAGGGTGACTCACGCCTGTAATCCTAGCACTTTGGGAAGCTGAGGCAGGCAGATCACCTGAGATCAGAAGTTCGAGACCAGCCTGACCAACATGGAGAAACCCTGTTTCTACTGAAATTACAAAATTAGCTGTAATCATAGCTACTCAGGAGGCTGAGACAAGACACTCACTTGAACCTGTGAAGCAGAGGTTCTAGTGAGCCAAGATCTTGCCATTGTACTCCAGCCTGGGCAACAAGAGCAAAACTCAGTCTCAAAAAAAAGAAAAAGAAAAAAAGAAGGCCAGGCGCAGTGGCTCACGCCTGTAATCCTAGCACTTTGGGAGGCCAAGGTGGGTGGATCACCTGAGGTCAGGAGTTCAAGACCAGCCTGGCCATCAGGGTGAAACCCCATCTTATTGAAAAAAAAAAAAAAAAAAAAAGACCTGTGGTCTCAGTGTAAATATAAATCACTGTAAATTGTAACTGCAAAAAGCGACTTAAAAACAAGCTTGATAAGACTCAATTGTATGGAGTCAAAATGGAAGCAAGAGTTGAAATCCTCTCTATAGTCTTATTGACCTCAATTGTGATGATGGTTGCTTACAAACAACACACTTTAATTCCCTGTATTTTAATGTTTGCTTCTTCCACAATGTCTCCAGTTTATTGATTAGGTCAGATATATTTTAATAGTTTTCCTAATTTTTTTGAATAACAACATAAAAAGTGGGATCGGGGAGAAACACTTTATCAACTGGTTTAAAAACCATGTTTCAACCAAGTACGGTGGCTCACACCTGTAATCACAACACTTTGGAAGGCCAAGGTGAGAAGATCACTTGAGTCCAGGGATTCAAGGCCAGCCTGGGCAACATAGTGAGACTCCATCTCTACAAAAAATTTTTAAAAATAAATTGGTCAGGTGCAGTGGTGCATACCTGTGATCCCAACTACTTGGGAGGCTGAGGTATGGAGGATCACTTAAGCCCAGGAGGTGGAGATTGTAGGGAACAGCAGTCCTGCCACTATACTCCAGCCTGGGCAATGTAGCAAGAACTTTATCTCAAAAATAAAATAAAAACCATGCTTTGGCTGGGCGCGGTGGCTCAAGCCTGTAATCCCAGCACTTTGGGAGGCCAAGGCGGGTGGATCACGAGGTCAAGAGATTGAAACCATCCTGGTCAACATGGTGAAACCCCGTCTCTACTAAAAATACAAAAAATTAGCTGGGCATGGTGGCACATGCCTGTAATTCCAGCTACTCAGGAGGCTGAGGCAGGAGAATTGCCTGAACCCAGGAGGCGGAGGTTGCAGTGAGCCGAGATCGTGCCATTGCACTCCAGCCTGGGTAAGAAAAGCGAAACTCCGTCTCAAAAAAAAAAAAAAACCATGCTTCACGAAGATGCAGACTGATTACATCACTTTTCTTGACACCCAAGGATGCACGCTATTTATTTTTCTTCTTGTGTTTATTGCCATGACAGACCAGCTCTCACAAGTTAAGGCTGTATGAGAGAGATGACTACCGAGGCCTTATGTCTGAGCTCACTGACGACTGCGCCTGTGTCCCTGAACTCTTCCGTCTCCCTGAGATCTATTCCCTCCACGTGCTGGAGGGCTGCTGGGTCCTCTATGAAATGCCCAACTACCAGGGGCGGCAGTATCTGCTGAGGCCAGGGGACTACAGGAGGTACCACGACTGGGGTGGTGCTGATGCCAAGGTTGGCTCCTTGAGACGGGTCATTGATTTGCACTAAGCTGTGACTGCCTTGTATGATCCACACAGAAACCCAATAAATATACAAATTGTGCCCCCCGCACTCAGTGGCTCTTGTTTATTTATTTATTGTATAACTTGTTTGTTTTGTTTTGTTATGGAGTCTTGCTCTGCCACCCAGGCTAGGGTACAGTGGCATGATATCGGCTCACTGCACCGTCCACCTCCCAGCTTCAAGTGATTCTCCTGCCTCAGCCCCCTGAGTAGCTAGGGTTACAGGCATGTGCCACCATGCCTGGCTAATTTTTGTATTTTTGGTAGAGATGGGGTTTCACCGTTTTGGCCAGGCTGTTCTACAGCGCTTGACCTCAAGTAATCTGCCCGCCTCGGCCTCCCAAAGTGCTAGGGATTACAGGCGTGAGCCACCACGCCCGGCCCTTATTTTTAAATAATAACTGAATTCTAAAAGACGGCAACCGCTGGCAACTTACCTGACCCTGCAAGATGTTTTGAATGCCTACTCATTTCCTAGTCAGGCACTGGTATTTACAGAATATCCATTCCTGTCATGGAAAGGAGAGAGGAGTGACAATTTCTGCCTTTCATGAGCTACAATCTGAAGGAAAGTAGAAATATGAGCATAACACAAAATGCTTCAGAAGTCACACAAAGGAAAAAGTGTAGGACCCATAGTGGCTTGTGGCTGAAATGTCAAACACGAGGGATTGCTGGAGGGAGTAGGGAAGCTGAAGTCTCAGCTAAGATTAGTCAAAAGAAATGCAGGGAGAGGTACTGTGGCTTACACCTGTAATCCCAACACTTTGGGAGGCCAAGGCAGGCGGATCACCTGAGGTCAGGCGTTCAAGACCAGCCTGGCCAACACGGTGAAACCCTGTCTCTACCAAAAACACAAAAATCAGCTGGGTGTGGTGCCAGGTGCCTGTAATCCCAGCTTATTTGGCAGGCTGAGGCAGGAGAATCCCTTGAACCTGGGAGGCAGGGGTTGCAGTGAGCTGGGATGGTGCCACTGCACTCCAGCCTAGGCGATAGAGCCAGATTCCATCTTAAAAAAAAAAAAAGAGAGAGAGAGAGAGAGAATGCATAAAGAGAGGAGGTGTTTTTGTTTTGTTTTGTTTGTTTGAGACAGGGTCTCACTCTGTTGCTTAGACTAGAGTGCAGTGGCGTGATCTCAGCTAACTGGAACCTCTGCCTCCCAGGTTCAAGTGATTCTTCTGCCTCAGCCTCCCAAGTAACAGGGATAACAGGCATGCACCACCACACCTGGCTAATTTTTATATCTTTAGTAGAGATGGGGTTTCATCATCTTGGCTAGGCTGGTCTTGAACTCCTGACCTCAGGTGATCCACCCGCCTCGGCCTCCCAAAGTGTTGGGATTACAGGTGTGAGCCACGTTGCCTGGCTGAAGAGAGGAGTTTTAAAGAGAACTTTCAAGTAGAGAAGGGCAAGCCTGCTTCACTGGATAACCTGGTAAGAAAGGTGTTAAACCAAGAGTTAAACAGTCTGATTCCCTATCCTACCTCTGCTACTTATAAGTGGAGTAATCAACCCAGCCCGGTTTTCCAGGGACTCTCCCAGTTTTAGCACTTAAAGTCTTCCATCCTGGAAAGCTCCTCAGTGTCAGGTGAACCCAAATGGTTGGTTACCGCACTTCCTAGCTTATCTCTTTGAGCAAGTCACTTCTTACCTTCTCTGTGCCTAAATTACCTTACTGAAAACAAGTGATAACAAATTCCTGCTTCACTAAATCCCAGGATGATGACAATGAAATGATGGGAAAAGATTGTAAGCAAATTTCGTTACCTTTAAATCATTATGCAAATGTAAGAATTTAATATATCCGCAGCGTCTTCTCAAATTCAGTATCACAATGTGGTCATCTTCGTGTTGAACGTCATTATGAATTTTTACCAAGACTAAATTATTGAAGACTCTGGCTGGGCACAGTGGCTCACACCTATAATCCCAGCACTTTGGGAGACCAAAGCAGATGGATTGCTTTAGCCCAAGATATCAACACTACCAGCCTGGGTGACAAAGTGAGACTCCGTCTCTTAAAAAAAAAGCAAGAAAGAAAGAACTATATGCAGAGTGAGCAATTAATATTTGCTATCCTACATATCTCTGGGATTTTTTCCACTATAATAGAGCTGTACATTCTTTGTTTATGAATTTTACATCAGTGGAGTTCTTTATGAAACAAAAAGCAAGATGAGATACTACTTCACATTTACTAGGATGGCCATAATCAAAAAGAAAGTTAATCATGTGTTGGCGAGGATGTGAGAAAATGGAAAGTGGGAAAAAAATGTAATAAAAAACAAAGTAAAATTATGTCACTGCTTTGGAAAATAGTCTGAGGAAGTAGTTCCTCAGAAGGTTAAACATAGTTATCATATGTTTATATCATACTTTATATCACAGTTATCATATTACCTAGTAATTCTATTCCTAGGAATATACCCAAGAAAAATTAAAACATATGTTCAGCACAAATGCTCGTACACAAATGTATATAGCAGAATTATTCAGAATAACTAAAAAGCATAAGCAACCCAAATGTCCATCAACTGATGCATAAATGAAATGTGGTATATCCATAAAACAGAATACTATTTGGCCTTTAAAAGGAATTAAGTATCAACTCATCTCATGCCTGTAATCCCAGCGCTTTGGGAGGTTGAGGCGGGTGGATCACGAGGTCAGGAGTTCAAGACCTGCCTGACAAATGAGGTGAAACCCCGTCTCTACTAAAAATACAAAAATTAGTCAAGTGTGGTGGTATGCACCTGTAATCTCAGCCACTCAGGAGGCTGAGGCAGGAGAATCCCCCAAACCCAGGAGGTGGAAGTTGCAGTGAGCCAAGATTGTGCCATTGCACTTCAGCCTGGGTGACAGAGCAAGACTCCATCACACACAAAAAAAGGATTTAAGTATCAACTCATGTTACAATATGGTGAACTTTTAAAACATACTAACTGAAAGAAATCCATTGGAGATTACATATTTTATAATTCCATTTATATGAAATTTCCAAAATAAGCAAATAGACAATAAAAATTAGTGGTTGCCTACCTGCTGGGGTGGAAAAACGTAGTGATAACCAGGAAGAAATAGGGAATGGCTGCTAATGGGTACAGGGGCTTTTCTGGGGGGTGATGATAATGTTCTAAAACTGATTGTGGTGTTAGTTGAACAACTCTGTAAATTATATTGTAAATTATATCTCAAATAAAAAACATTCAATTGCAATTCCAGAATGTTAGTTTCTTTCCCAAATTTATATAAGCAAAAATAGGCCAGGTGCAGTGGCTCATGCCTGTAATCCCAGCACTTTGGGAGACCGAGGCAAGCAGATCACCTGCGGTCAGTTCAAGACCAGCCTGACCAACATAGAGAAACCCCATTTCTACTAAAAATACAAAACATTCGTTGGCTGTGGTGGCACATGTCTGTAATCCCAGCTACTTGGGAGGCTGAGGTAGGAGAATCACTTGAACTCAGGAGGTGGACGGTGCAGTGAGCCGAGATCATGCCACTGCACCCCAGCCTGGGCAACAAGAGCAAAACTTTACCTCAAAATAATAATAGTAACAATAAAGTAAAATAAAATAAATATGGTCTGTCCCAGTTGACTTTTTTGTAAAAATCAATAAGCTTATTTTAAAAACTATATGGAGTTGCAAGGGACCCAGAATAGCCAAAACAGCCTTGAGAAAGAACAAAAAGCAGGAACATTCACACTTCCCAGTTTCAAAATTGACCACAAAACAATGGTAATCAAGATAGCGAGGTACTAGCATAAGGACAGACATATAGATGGATGGAATAGAATTGTGAGTTTAGAAATAAACCTATTATATGTTTATGTTCAACTGATTTTTTTTTTATTTTACATATCCCTGGGTGGAGATTTATCAACTGATCTTTGACAAAGATGCTAAGATCATTTGATGGGGAATAAATAATCTTTTTAATGAATAGTGCTGGGACTACTGGATACCCACATGCAAAATGAAGCTGAACCCCATCTCATACCATATATGAAAATTAACTCAGGATAGGTTGCAGTGGCTCAAACCTGTAATCATAGCACTTTGGGAGGTTGAGGCCGGCAGATTGCTTGAACCCAGGAATTTGAGACCAGCCTGGGCAACATGGTGAAACCCTGTCTCTAACAAAAAATACAAAAAATTAGCAACTGTGGTGGTACACACCTGTAGTCCCAGCTACTCAGGAGACTGAGGTGGGAAGATCACTTGAGCCCAAGAAGTTGAGTTGCAGTGAGCTGTGGTCATGCCACTGCACTCCAGCCTGAATGACAGAGCAAGATCCTGTCTGAAAAAAAAAAAAAAAAAAAAGGAAGAAATAAGCCTTCCACCAATTAATCAATTGGCCAATGCATTAGAATATATTGGAACTCTTGTTAAAGTGCAAGATATGTAGCACTAATAGGGTTATTCGGGTGCCAGAACTTGTGGTTAAAATTTAAAAATTAAAAAAATAAATAAATAAAAAAGCATGACATTGGACCTACTATGACAAGTGTATAATTTAGAGAAGATATAAGATCTGCACACCTGAAAAGATCACATCTGAAACAAACCATCAGTGCATGAAGAGACCATTAGTTAGGCCTTGAGTTCAATTCCCAGTTCTCTCACTCACTAGCTATGTGTACATTTCCAGATGTGTTTCTCCCTAGTGATCAGTACTGTGATTAGACTTCATGGACCAGGATCCCCCGACTGGACTGGATACTTCAGAGAACTTCACTCTGGCTTCCTCTAGCTGAACTCTTCCCAGTGGGGCAGGAGTCTGTGGGGCTATGGGACATGTCCACACTTCTCCTTCTAGACCACATTCTTCATACCTGGATCTTCAAAATTCCCTCCATTTAGACCCAAGCTCACTTCTGAGACCTAAGAGGGAGTTTTCACCAGGCCTAGCCTCCTGGGGACACTGGTAACCACAGGTAGCTGTTTGAGGAGGGGGCATATGGATAGAATTTGGAGATGTGAGAGAGTGGGAAGAAAGGAGGGTACTTCATAGAGTAGGGAGGAGCTCTATTATGCTTTAGGCATA